AACTGAATCAGCTAGATTGCCATAGTCAAAAGTAGTACAGTGGATAATCAAATCCACTCCCAGGGGAAAACAGAAGTTGACCCTTCTAAAATGGTCGCTAGAGGGCCTATGCCCCTAATAGCAAAACCTCATTTACCTTCTGCTCCAGAATTCTGATATGACTAAATGCTACAAGGCTTGAATACATCATGCCAAAGTGTACTTCTGCTAGATAAAAAAATAAAAAAACTTTTCATGGTTCATTCAGTGACTGGGGACAACCAAACCCTTCATGGTCTAAAACCCAGAGATTGTATCTTCTGAAATGATATCAGAAAAAGACTGCCCTTGGCTAGGGACAGTGGCTCATACCTGTAATCCGAGTACTTTGGGAGGCCAAGGCTGGTGGATCACCTGAGGTCAGGAGTTCGAGACCAGCCTGGCCAACGTGGTGAAACCCTGTCTGTACTAAAAATACAAAAATTAGCCACTGGATGTGGTGGTGTGTGCCTGTAATCCCAGCTACTTGGGAGGCTGAGGCAGGAGAATTGCTTGAACCCAGGAGACGGAGGTTGCACTGAGCCGAGATCCCGCTGCTGCACTCCAGCCTAGGTGACGGAGCAAGACTCCATCTAAGAAAAAAAAAAAAAGATTACCCTTGCCACCTACACTACAGCTTTGGGGCCTCAAAGCTTAGGTTCATAATCTCACAACTCAGAAGGGCCCTCCAGACTCTTAGAACTATACACCCATTAGAAACCTTAAGATAAAGCTAACCAGGAAAGTTTCACCCCCTAAACAGATGACATCGTAGACATGGACAGCTTTCCCAAGATCACAGATCAAGACTCCTCTGCTATTCTCAGACTTTTACCTCTCTTAATTTTTCCCTTGCTTATGCCTCTATGAATAATAAAACTAAAAAGGGGGATTTGTGTACATCATAAGGTATACTTTTATTTGTAGAGAACTTTGCAGCCAGCCTTATACATTGACAATCTTAAGCCTGGGTAGAAAAGATAAAGGACCAATGTGAGCAAAAATATTTAACGGCATCTTTATTCTTCCATAATCAGAAACAGAACATTGGTTCATTCCTTTTCACCTACATCATCGGTTTAAAAGAACATTGCCAGGGATCCTTCCCTCTTCTAGTAAAGTTTAAACATGGAGTTTCTTTAAACTTTTCTAGACATAATTCTTATGCCCCCTTTTTCATAATTTGAAGGAGACAATGATTAAAATTTGTTCCTCATAATAGGCTTTATAATGGATTCTACTACAAAGACTGTGATTACGCAACAGACATCTTTAAGTTCTCTTGCTAAGGTTGTGCTGGATAATAAAATTACTCTAGATTACCTACTAGATAAACAGAAAAAAAAATCTCTACCATGACTGATACTACTTGTTACATGTAAATAAATACATTGAATATTATAGAGATTTGGTTTTAGGGTGTTAATAAACAGACTGCTGGGTTAAAACAAGTAGACTCTTTGTCTGGCTCATTCTTTGATCTATTTCATTTTAGTTGGTTTGATTCACGGAGATGCTGACTAAGGAGCATACTCCAAACTCCTGATATGATCCTCTTGATCATTATAATTGTCTCTCTACCACACTATGTTCTCTCTCTTTGAGATGACAAAAAGTCAAAAGTGTGTTCTCATAAAGACTTCATAACCAATAAATAATGTACTGAGACCAAAACTGTAAAATAATGGTAACTGAAAATGGCATTAAAAGTCTACTGGTCACACTCACTTAAATAAAATCCTGACCAAAAGGAAGAAATTGTTAAACAAAATTAGAAGATGCTGTTATTTTGGACTGAGTTCATACTCTGGGCCCCAGCAGAACAGACCAGACCAAAATAGAGTCACTCATGCTAAGTGTGACATAATCAAACTAAAACTTTTAAAAAGTCCCAGACAGGTAAGCCGTAAAACAGATCCAAGTTTTCTTTCTCCTCTACTAAAAGCAAGATATTCCAACACAGAGAGGTCCCCTCTACTCTCTTTCAAAAAAAATAACCTGAAAGCCTGGTTCCCATCTTACAAAGCTCTCTGTTCTGCTATTTCCCAGTGAGACATAAGACCAAATAAATGCCTTTACAATAGTGGCAGAGTGACATCAATGCCTACAGTTTTGGTTCACCTCTCAATTTTGAGGGGAGCATTGCTAAATTTAGCCTAGAACTGCCTCCTTGCATATTTTAAGCTTGGCCTAAAAGTTTCTCTGTACGTAGTAAACTGTAACCAAACTGAGTGCCCTAACAGACCACCTTGTGCCTATTACTCTCTTACCAATCAGACAATCAAGGCAGCCAACTGTTCAAACTATGTTCAAGTAAGACAAAATCTGAGCTGTAACCAGTTCAGCCGTTTCTCACTTCTATTTTCTATAAGTTGCTTTCCTTTTTCTGTCTGTAAATCCTCCCTGACCACATGGCAGCGGCAGAGTCTCTCAATCTGTTCTGGTTCAGGGGGTTGCCCAATCTGTGAACCCTTTATTGCTCAATTAAACTTTGTTACATTTAATTTATCTAAAGTTTTCTTTTAACATTGGTGTTCATGAAATATTTGTCAAGGAAAGGAGGGTGGAATGGGTTGGACAGAGGAACAGATGGATGAATACCCAAAAGTATTACTATTTCTTTTTATGCCAGAGTCATGTTTGTTTATTTCCAAAAATACTGCTTTTATTCAGGGCTCCCCAATTCCTTGCTGGCCCACTGAAAACCTGGCTACCTGGATCCATTCTCTGTCCCCATGTAGCTATGCGATTTGGGGTAAGTAAGGATAAAGGCCAGCATGATAACCCTAAGTGCCAACCATGTGCTGAGCATTGTTCTGAGTGTTTCAAATGTTTTAATAGATTTAATCCTCAAAACAACCCTATGATATAAGTACAGTAGGTATCCTTGATTTACAGTTGGGACACATAGCGGGTAAGAAAGGTCGCACAGACAGTAGATGATGGGGCTGAGATTTGAATCCATGTAGTCAGGCCCTGGGAGCCTCGTTCTTAACCGCTATGTCGTACTTCTATAGCCACTGCAGTAAATGTGCTGAATGAATGGATGCATGAATATATACCCTAAGGTATTCTCTAGATGTTAATTTTCTCAGGTTGTTATGTAATTGTGTTCTGCCTGTCTTCATTTAACACACACACACACACACACACACAAATTGTCACAGTTGTCAGTCCTTTAATGGACGAGAGCTTCATAAAGCTTTTCTTCTCTTCAAAAAATTGAAAGGAACTATCTTGAGATTTTTATTCATCCTTAACTTTTTTGAGTTTGATAATTTGTTGAATTTGGCAATGAAAAACCATATTTTCAGAGACATGGATCCTTATTTTTGCTGGACTGTAGATGAAGTTTGACAAACCACATCTTGTTCCCTAATGTTACTTAAATGTATGTACTCAGATGGCACTGGTCATTCTACAGAGGGTAAAGTATGTGTTCCTTTCTGGGTCAAATCAGATTTTGGCTTCTTGGCTTATTGTTCAGCCCTCAATGTGAATATCTAACACATAATCACAAGCTTAAGGTGTCGTGTCTCAGGAAATTGTTGCTCTCCATTTCTTGGTCATATGTCTGGTTGAATGCTCAGTAGCAGTAACTTGAGATAAGGTTTTGGAAAATGTCCATATTCAGGGCATATGTATATTTTTAAAGCTGGCACGTGCTTTGTGACAAATTACTTTCTTTTACCTGATCTTCGCAGCAGTAGTAGGAAAAGATGACATTGATAACTTGTGGATAAATAAGTCTTAGTATCTGGGAAACTTTGATTAATTAATTAAATTTTACCTTCTGTATTGTAAAAGAAAGTGTGACATAACAGTCTGTAATGGTTGTGAAAAGTGTACCTAAAAGGGCTGAGCACATTGGCTCAGGCCTGCATTTTGGGAGGCCAAGGTGGGCGGATCACTTGAGGCCAGGAGTTCAAGACCAGCCTGGCCAGCATAGCGAAACCCCATCTTTACTAAAACTACAAAAATTAGCCAGATGTGGTGGCACACGACTGTAGTCCCAGCTACTCAGGGAGCTGAGGTGGGAGGATCACTGGAGCCTGGGAGGCGAGAGTTGCAGTGAGTCGAGATCATGCCACTGCACTCCTGCCCAGGCAACAGAGTGTGACGTTGTCTCAAAAAAAAAAAAAAAAGAAAAGAAAAGAAAAAAGTACCTAAAAATAACTCAGAATTATTAAAGGTTGTTAAAGTGAATCTTTAGACAAGTAGAACACAAGAACAATTAGAATTGGAGCTCCAGAATGAGAGATGTGGCGATTGACCTGAACCTTGCCACACAGGGTAGAGGTACACCCTTGAGGGTACGTATAATCCTGTTGGAAGAAACAGCTCAGAGGGGGAAAGCATGGACTGAATATGGGAAGTAGCCAGCAGTCTGGTGGGCTGTAGACATACTTCAGGTAACTAAAGGATAGGGCAGAGCCCTCCCCATCATCTGCATCAGCCTCCCCTCAAAAACCTCCCAGAATAAGTGGTACAGTATAAAGTACAGATAACAAGAGTACCAGCTATGCAAAATGCAGCTATCAAACAAATTCCTCAGACCGCCCTGCCTCCCAGCCACATTGCCACCTCTAACAACATTCCCCCATGTTTGTATCCCCTGTTTTCATGTGAAGAGTCACCAGGGTGAAGGGCATCCTATTCGAACAACTATTTTCAGGCTTTCTTTACTGGTAGGCATGTGGTACAGGTCAAATCCTTCCTAATGTCCCATTTGAGAAAACATCTTGTTTGCCTTAAGGGAAGATATGAAGATACTTAATACAGATATGAATTTTGGGTATATGTACACAGTTAATATTGCATTTAATTCAAACAAAGTTCATAGTGCCTCATCTCAGTGCCTGTTGTATATATTAGGTGCTTAGTAAGATTTTTTGGCTTTTCCTGCTCCTAATATTCAGTTTATTGTTAGTTTTGAAAAACTTTTTTGCTTATTTTGTTTGTTTGTTTGTTTCCTTTTAAAGGAGAGGTTTAAAGAAGCTGAAGAAACATACCAGGCGGGAATAAAGAACTGTCCAGACAGCTCAGATTTACACAACAACTATGGGGTTTTCTTAGTTGATACCGGTAAGTGCAATTAAAAAGAAACTGTTCTGCTGAGATTAGCTAATACCATTTATCAAGCAAAATGGAAGGCAAATAATCCTCAGAAGTAAAATTCACTGGGCTTGGCAGGAAACTCACACTATTGACAGTCATTGTACCTTGGGGCTGTCATTTCTCTAAATCTTCAAGCTCGATTCACTACAGTCTGCCCATTCTTATACTCATTTCTCTAGGGAAAGCTCCTCAGGTGACAGGAAGTAGCCTTATGATTTAATGAGTCCTGGTCTTCTTCAAATATTATGTATATAAATTTATAAATCCATGATAATAAAACGTTTCTCTACAATGATGCAGAATCTGCCTCTGAATCTAGTCCCTGCAGATAGTAAATACTTTTCTATAACATGTTTTTTAAAAGCTTCCAGAATTGTTCTATCATTCCTTCCTTGATACACATTTTAGAAACTGCATTATTAAAATAGATATGATGCTCTTATATAACAGGTGCTATGTAAAATACACTTACTTTATCTTATTTAATGGAAAACATTACTGGGCATGAATTCTCTTTTCATTATGACTTATGCAGGGCCCCTGTACTGTTGGCATGCAATGAATACATATAAGTAATGAAATTATGTTTGAATGTAAGGCCAAAGCACCACTTTGTTCTTGTTGACTACTAGACTAGCTGCTCTGCAATAAAATTTAATTTTAATTAGTTTTTCAATATGAAATGCTTAAAGGGGTTTTATTTTCAAGGGTATTTGGAACTCTCTTGTTTTACAGAATATAAATTTACATTCTGATACGTCCAAGAAACTTACCTTATTTTTGCATGTGTAAAATTGCTGTGTAGTGCCACCTGCTGGTATATTGGCCGCATAATACTAAACTGTCTTGAAGATACAAAAACCAGGAGAAATCTCTAGTTGGGCTGGTCTAACCCTCTTCCTTTCACTTCAGCCACAGTCCCACCCCAAAAGTGATAACTCCCTGACCACTCTATGGCATTGAGTCTCTGCTACAGAGACAGAGACTCCTAGGGACCTCCTTCTCAAGCTTGTGTTCAAACAGATGCACTTGAAAAGGTTTCTGTGTAGATAATAAACATTCCATTGTATTTGAAACTTTGTAGTGTTCTAAAGTTTAGCCACTGAATATAGTTTCACCAGGAAGCTACTCTGAAGAAACTTACCAACTAGAGGGTAATCCTTCTGGTTCTGGCCTGAATCTCACTTGCCCTGGGATCTTTATCAAATCTCTGAATATCTTTGCACTTTAGTGTCTGTATCTGGAAAGTGGAAATTTTTTGTGTGTGGTTTTTAAAATATCTCTTAAATCCTGATAAACAGCTAAACAGTGTCAGAAGGCAGCTAAATTGTATAAAAACACCTGCGAAAATCATACAAATAAAAGTATTTAAAAATATACAATGCATTGCACAAGTGCATGGTGGCATTATTATGTTGGAAGTCCCATTAGATAAATACCTTTAAAACGAAAATGCATGATTTTAAAAGAGATTTTCACTCTAAAGCTGATATGTGTTATTTAAAGCAATGCTTCAGTTGCTATGTTACGGTATAGTTCATTAAGACAGACCCTTAGAATTTGCTTCTGGACAGTTTTATTTCTATGGTAGCCTGTTCTATTTTTTTGTATAATGAGAGCCAGTTATATCTTAGATAAATAACAATCACTAATAATCTGAAGACATCCTATTAGCAAGATCAATGACCAGAAAAAAACTTGGACTAAAATAATATATATAATACAAAGAATAGATTTTAGTTTTTACTGCCTTTCTGTTAATTTTTTTGGAAGTATGAATGAACAGGGAAATTGTTAAAGTTAGGCAATGGTCAGGATGAGAAGCTGAAATGCAAGCTAATTTACATATTGAATAATTTTGGTATGACTCTATAATAATGAGAAAGAATTATAAGTCAGAAGAGAAACTGAAAAGTTATTTTTATAATAAGACATGTTCTGCTCTTACCGACCTATCATGGGTTACAGGCTTTCCAGAAAAGGCAGTGGCCCATTACCAACAGGCTATCAAACTCAGCCCCAGTCATCACGTGGCCATGGTGAACTTGGGAAGACTCTACAGGTCACTAGGAGAGAACAGCATGGCTGAAGAATGGTACAAGCGGTAAAGGTCCCTTTCTTTACTTTATAAATTGGACAGAAACCTCAGCAATTGCCCATCAGCATCTTAGTTAATTGGAATAGGTGTGTTCTTAAAATGCTAGCAAATTTTGCCAATTCAGGTGATACAAATTCTTATCTCCAAAGAAAGCAACCACAACAATATAAATGGGATCGTGATTCATGACTTTGACTGCTGGTTAGATTATAATGCTAAACCAAGGCTGAAATTTAATTCCCACTTTAGTCGGTTTGTTGTTTTCTGAAGCCATGGATTGCAACCCCAATCATAAATAGCAATTTCAAAAATGGGAATAATAAAATACTATACACACATGAGGACAAATCCAACATAATTAATGGGAAAGACCCTTGGGGCTCAGTTTCCATATTGATAGGTCAATAAAACATTCTTACATTCCAAGTTTGGCATCATGATCATTTTGTAAGAACCTTGTTTTTGGCCAGGTGTGGTGGCTCATGCCTGTAATCCTAGCACTTTGGGAGGCCAAGGCAGGGGAATCACCTGAGGTTAGGAGTTCGAGACCAACCTGCCCAATGTGGTGAAACCTCATCTCTACTAAAAATACAAAAATTATCCAGGCATGATGGTGGGCACCTGTAATCCCTGCTACATGGGAGGCTGAGCCAGGAGAATCACTTGAACCTGGGAGGCAGAGGTTGCAGTGAGCCAAGATTGTGCCACTGCACTCCAGCCTGGGCGACAGAGCAAGACTCCATCTCAAAAAAAAAGAAAAAATACCAAAAAAACCCAAAAACCTTGTTATTGATATAAAAACAAAGACCATATTGGACCAGAAGTTCAAACCATGGACAGTCATCCCTAAATCTAATCTTAGACATTAGGAAATGTACCTATTAGAAGAGAAATGTCAATTAGCTTTTCTCCAAACTCAGCGCCCTGCAGGTGGCACACAAAGCTGAGATATTGTCACCTTTGGGAGCGCTGTATTACAACACCGGCCGATATGAAGAGGCTTTGCAGATTTACCAGGAAGCAGCAGCACTTCAGCCTTCTCAAAGGGAGCTCCGCTTGGCACTGGTGAGTAGGATGAAAGAAAATGAAGCCTGCAGCTTAAGCACAGCCGGCCATAGAGAGAGCCATAGTCCTCAAGCCTCGAAACTGGAGCTGGAATACTGTAATACATCCACTGTATGAATATTCATGCAGCCAATGTTAAAGCCATTCTCCAGAGACATGGACACCAAAAATGCTGCGTTTTCGTTCTGAAATAACTTCAAACTTATGAAAATGTTGCAAGCATAGTAAAAACTCCCGTATGCCCTTTCATCCGGATCCAATGATTTGTAACATTTTGATGTGTTTATCACTCCCTTGTGTATGCGTGTAAATGTGTATGTATACACATGTATAAATGTGCATATTTAGATACGTATGTTTGTATATACCTATTATTAGTATGTGTTATTTTCTTCCTGAACCATGCGGGAATTCGTTATAGATATCATTCCCCTTAATCTCTAAATACATTTGCAAATAGTTTCTAAGAAGGACATTCTCTAACATATAGCTATTAAACTCAGGAAAATTAACATGCACACCAACAAAATTTTTATTTCAACGTTTGGAACTTCGCTCATTCTTCTCCTTAGATGTGCAATAAATCAAATTTGTTATCTTGCTGTAAACACATTGTTCTGATGAAATCAGAGGAAATTCTTTCTCTTCTGACATATCTAGTCAACCTTTTTTAAAAACCACAAGCCATTTCATTAGATATCTTTGGTGTTTCTGCCATTCACACACAAATGCATGCACAAAACTAAATAAAGAAACAAACAGCAAAAAGTCAAAGCCTGAAAACTGGTGATTCAGCCTTCTCTATGAGTCACTAAATTGATGCTGAGCATGTTTGTCAGGAGTGCATTCTGAATCCTTCTATTTGGGATGCTTTATTTGATAAGGTAGTGAATCTCTGCTAACCAAGGTCTGTGTGGTTTTGTAGGCTCAGGTTTTGGCTGTGATGGGTCAGACAAAAGAAGCTGAAAAGATGACCAATCACATTGTGTCAGAGGAGAGCGGGTGCCTTGAATGCTATCGCCTCTTGTCAGCAATCTATAGCAAGCAGGAGAACCATGACAAGGTAAATAAGGACACTGTTTAGAGTTCTTTGGATTCATAGGTTAAACATGGGGTGCACCTAAGTGATTCTCCAGTTTGCACGTTTATGCACCTGAGAAGTCTTAAATCTTATCAGTCAACATATCCTATCTGATATGGAAAACTTTTCACAGATACCCCCTTAACACCTAAGTTGTCCCCTTGAAATAATATTTTCTTGGCTTATCCTTGCTGTAAAGCTTTTATGTGATATTGTCTCAGTTTGTTTGCAGCTAAGTCTAAAAAGATCAAGACTAACATTTATATGCTTTATTATTTTGTATTTTTCTTCTTACATATTGTTTTATGTAATTCTCATAACCATGCTTTATAGGGTTGTTAGGAGGATTACATAATATATAAGAGGATTACATAAAACAATATATATGAAGGAAACGCAGGTGACCAGGTATTGCAACTGTTATTGTCTATCTCCATTTTAAAAGTTACGAAATCAATAAATTTATAAACTGACTCAGTGAAATAATTGTGGAAGGTGCACTTTGTTCTGGCCAGTGTGGTTGGTGTCAGAAATAAAGTGGTAGGCAAAAAAAAATCAGAAAGTCACTGCCCTTGTCTTCGTGAAGCAAACCCACAGAGAACAAGATTCAAGAAATACTCACAAAACAAATGGAGAGCCATAGCTGTGACCAGGGATACCATGAAGAGCTACCTGTCCCAAAGAACATATAATCAGGGGACCCAATAAGTCTGGGAGGCCAGATTTCCCCGTGAAGTGATGTGGAGGTGAGGGCTGGATGAAGAATAAGAGTTATTAGGCAGAGGAAGAAGCAAGGAGGATTCGGGGATGGGAAACGGCACATGCAAAGCCCTGTGGCAGCAGCAAGGGAGTGGGTGAGAGGCAGCGGGAGTACTGTAGAAACACAAGCACAGGCTGCTGGGAGGAGACTCCTTGAGGGCCAGGCCAAGGATATTGTTCCTTACTCTGGGAGAAGCTTTGGGTTTTTGTGGAGAGGAGCAACATGATCAGATGTTTGCTTTGAAGGGATCTTAGGCTGCAGGGGCAGTGGGTGCTGGGGGCAGAGTGGGAACTAGGACCTGTGAGGGCCTGCTGGAGTGGTCTAGATGGACACATGGTCAGGGCAAATGTCTGAGGCCAAATCTTGTTTTCTTTCAACTTCCTATGAAGTAATCAAGGATATTTTATTGCCACTCATCTTTACATGACAAAACGGGAGTATAAGAAAGTTATTTTATCAGGGCCACTAATTCCCAGTGAGAAACTCAAAGGTGATGAAGAATATATCTATATTTGATACAAGGTCTTCCCTTGTTGCCCAGGCTGGAGTACATTGGCATGATCTTAGCTCACTGTAAGGTCTACCTCCCAGGGCTCAAGACATCCTCCCACTCAGCCTCCCCAGTAGCTGGGACTACAGGCGCGCACCACCTCACCCAGCTAATTTTTGTATTTTTTTGTAGAGACAGGGTTTCTCTATGTTCCCTAGACTGATCTCGAGCTACTGGGCTCAAGCAATCTGACTGCTTCAGCCTCCCAAAGTACTAGGATTATAGGTATTAGCCACCACACCTGACCAAGAATGTATTTTCATTTTCACACAACATACCTGCTGACACATAGGAACAAAAGGTATAAATTTCATCAGTTAAATAAGTTTTTCTTTACCTATTCTGCATTTATTCTGTCTTAATCTCCAACCTCTGCAGGCACTTGATGCTATAGACAAGGCTCTCCAGCTGAAACCAAAGGACCCAAAAGTCATTTCTGAACTTTTTTTCACAAAAGGAAACCAACTAAGAGAGCAGAACCTTCTTGACAAAGCTTTTGAGGTATAAACTCTTCACAAAATTGTATCATCAAATTCACAGATTAATACTCTCTATCTTCAAGGAAACATGTACAGTAAGATAGATCTAAGATCACTGGCATGTTTGTGGAGTGAGTGAGTTTTTTGACTAATTGACTTAAAGTTTTGTTTATTTTTTATCATTGAGCATCTGGCCCTTGACTATTCAGGGCCGGATTTATTTTTCTGAATAACCACCTTTAACTTGATGGTGACAGTGTTCCACATTTTGGCCTCAAACTAGCTTCTCCCTATCTAGCTCTCTGCCTGCAAGAACCTTCTATTCCAACTGTACTAGTACCTGAAAAGCCTTGGACATTTCCACATGTCCTTGACATGCCCTGTCTTGACTTGGAGGATGAGATTTCCACTCATGCACCAAGACGCAGGCTGTCCTCCTGCCTTAGGAAGCCCTCCCTGACCATCCTTACTCCTGGTGACCTTACTTCTTCTGAATTCTTAAAAAGCGGACTGTCTCATGAAGGTACCAGTCATTTGAAAGTGTCACAAATTACATTGTATTATTAGGTCCCTCCCCCCAACCCGTGTGTGTGTGTGTGTGTGTGTGTGTGTGTGTGTGTGTGTATGTGTCTCTGTGTGTGCAGGAATGCACAAATCCTTGCATATTTTATCTCCCCAATTAGATTGGACTTTCCTTGTAGAGAGGGACTACATACTCCTTTGTTCTAAAACAGTGTTTTGCCTGTTATAAGGTGTTCAGTATCTACAGCTTTGGAATAAAACTTGTTCACAGGTTGAAATCAAGAAGATATTTACAAGTAAAAACAGAAATGTCACAATGTTACATACTTTATCCTTATATCTGGTAAAGCCACAAATTAATAAAGTCATAAAATTGCACTAAATATAGGAAAAGTGAAATATCCAATGATATAATTGTGCTGGGAAATAAGTGAGTGGCTTTCAAAATATTATTGGAAAACACATAGAAAGATATTTGGGAAAGCTGATTTGAATGCGAATCCTTTAAAGAAAAACAGAAATCATGCCATTTTTCTCTAAAAAGTTCTAAGCATTTTTCTCAGAATTTGTAGGGTTTGCTCTGCCTTTTGAACATTTTCAATATCTTCATCTTATTTATACCTAATGTGAACATTATTAATAACATAATTGTCAATATTTATAGTATGTATATATCATGACATACTGTGTTGCAAACAAAAGTATTTACTAGTTGCTTGACAGTAGCTCAAATAATCATTATAAAGTGACTAAATTTATGAAGATAGGAATAGGGCCATTGATAGATAGTAATAGCTAAAATGCATTAGCACTTTGTGTATGATTCATATATATTATGTAACTTAATCTTCACAAGAATCCTATAAGAAAGGCATGGTCATTGTCATCATTGTACAGTTTTGTAAACTTAGAGATCATATCTTGCTCAAGGTCACAAAAGTGGGTAAGAGATGGCATCAGTTTTGAATCCAAGATTCCTACACTACATTCTCATCTCTGCTGAAATAAATTCATCCAAGAGACACACCCTCTCAGTTTATTTTAGCAGCTTTTTGAAAGTATAGTTTCTTAACATTTCTTTCTTTCCCCTAAAACTGAATTAGAGGAGAATGGACCAGATTTTACTTGATGGATTTGTTTGATCATATTCTTACTAATGAAAATAGCAAGCAACATTAAAATATATGCAGATACTTAGTTTCGTCATTAAAGACAATACCCTTAATCTGCAGCTTTATTTCAGGTGACCATTTGAGACTCAGTGGTGAGCATATCTTTGATGCAAAACATGCATGCTATTAAAATATACCACACATCACAGATACTGCATTTAATAGGATATGTGTTATTCAGACCAAAGAAAGTGCTTGAGGGATAGGTAACTCTGTTTAAACATTTGAAGAATTTTCATATGTCAGGGGAATAAAAGACTGTCTAATGAATAAAACTATCCCCTAGTAATGTAGATGTTCTTAAAGAAGTGGTGATCCATTTTAAGAATTGCAGCATAGGCTAAACAACTAGGTCAGTTATATTTTAAAAGGGGATACTACATTAGGGTTAAACTGTTTAGAAGACCACCCCCAAATTCTGTGATGATAAAAAGAATTTTCTTACTAACTCCATTTGCAGTGAAAAAGCCCAAAAAGTTCAGTTTTCTTACAGGTCAAGGCCAACTGAAAATGACGCGATATAAGAGAAATCACCTGACTTCTGTGCAGGCATCCTCAGTCTCTCTAAGTCCAAAGGTTAGCTCTGCAGGGAAATTACACATTTCAGTTTCCTCCACTTTAGAATCATCAACTTTGAAAAATAATAGAAATAAACAGGGTCTCCTGTGAACTAATAGCAGCTGGTTTTATTGTATTAATACTTTATATTTTCACATGTGAAGAAAGTATTTTCCACAATCCTGCAGCGTTAAAGATGGGTCTTTGTTTCCTGACCTGAAGATATTTCTTATTTATTTAGAGCTATAAAGCGGCTGTGCGACTAAATCCAGACCAAGCACAGGCCTGGATGAACATGGGTGGCATCCAGCACATCAAGGTAGGAGAAAGATTTACTTCCACATGGACTGAGCCTTCCCTCTGTGTTTTCTCTTTCCTAAAGGATTGAGAAACTATTATTAATTTCCTTTTTGAAATCATTTGAATACCAAAAGCATGGGTTTTTAAAAGGGAAATAGCTTAGTTTATGTTCACTTTGTATTATCTAGATACTGAATATCAGGAAGCTATTTTTAACATAAATCTACATAAAATAGATTTTATGATTTTCCTAACCATGAAGAAAATCATGCATACTTAACAGAAGTATCAGATAGCAGATAAGATCTGTTTATGGGAACTAAATCCCTGTTCGAGGTCAGTATGGCTTATTTTCTTCCCAGTTTAACTCACTGTCAAAATTAAAGTGTTACTTAGAATATTACTTCCTATTTCTTATATCTAATATATCTTTTCTCCCTAACTTTTTACTGAAAAGCAAGCTTATTTGTTTTGTTTTGTTTTTCCAAAAGAAAAGCACTACTTTTGGGTGAGTCTTACCAAGGATGAAAATGACCTTTGGGGGACTTTTATCTGTAACTAATGCAATTAATCATTCGCCATCATTCATTTATTCATTCATCCATTCATTTTATAAGCATTTATGGCTAACATCCTATATGCCAGGTCCCCTTCTTGGCACTGGGAATCAGTAATGAACCAAGAAGACAAAAATTCCTGTCCTCATGGTACTAGTAGAGGGAGTTAGGTGATACATTACTACAAACATACATACATGAACACTTAATTCATACATATGTGCATAGTATGTATATAAAATATATTAGATAGTGATAAGTGCTAAGGAGAAAAAAGAGAAAGAAGATTGGAGTGCCAGGGAATAAGGGCTAATATTTTAAGTCCAGGTGGTTAGGAAAGGCCTCAATTACAAAGTAGTATTTGAGCAGAGACCTGAAGGAGTGGGCCATGTGACAACATAGGGAAAGGGCACCAGCATGTGCAAAGGCCCTAAGGTTTGAGCATGCCTGTTGTTTAAAGAACAGTGAGGAGGCAGCATGGTGGGGGGAGAGCAAATAAAAGGAAATGGGAGAAGCTAGGGTCAGATCATGCAGGCCTTCAAGGAGTTTGTAGGGATTTGGGCTTTTATGCCAAATGAGTCAGGGTTTTTGGAGGACTGTGAGCAGAGAAATGCCATGATCCAACATGTTTTTAAAGAACCACTCTTGCTTAGCTAACTGATTTTCAGTCTCTGCACTGGTAAAATAGCAGTGTAATGATTAGAATTTGAATAAAGTCCTAATGGGTTTTACTGTTTAGTGGAAACTGATCACTCTTGGAAACACACACAAAACAGATGACCCATGATTGCACAAATGGGAGAGGTTAATGGGATAATTATCCTGCAGCTGACAGTTTTGATCTGGTAGATGGTGAATTCAAGCATGATATTTATCAGAGCCAAATTGCCCAAGCTCTGATCTTAGTGATATTCTAGGGTGGCCAGTAATATCTAGTTGGGAAACAGAATGATCTTACTTTAAAGAGTAAAATGATAATTTTAAATATTTTTAATCATATATTAAATAGTTACATTTTCAAATACAGTCATGTGCCACATGACATCATTTTGGTCCAAAATGGATTATATATACAATGAAGGTCCCATAAGATTAAAATACTATGTTTTTACTACATCCTTTTTGTGTTTTGATATGTCTAGATACAAATACCACAGTGTTACCGTTGCCTACAGTATTCAGTACAACGTGATTTACAGGTTTATACATTTTCTTATCTCTCTTTCTCCCATCCCTTTTACCCCCATTCCCCTAATATGAATCTCAGTGGTTCCATTTAATTACAAAGGAACAGCACTAACCCCATGAGGACACTAGGAAATGATAACCCCACATCCTGCATTAGTTGAATTGAAAATTTGTATTTCTGCCATTTATCCTTACAGTATAACTCTCCTCTATCACATTCTCTAACTGATCTGGTACTTAAAACAAATGGAGTCTCCAAAAACACCAACGGACAAGGATAAACTTACACATACAGACAGGGTTTCCGTATGAGAACATTAATGTAAAACTGGGCCAGAGGGTCAGTTTCATGCTCTGCGAGAGTTTTGTGATGGATCAGAATGTAATTGCTCTCTCTTTTCCCCGACAGGGAAACTATGTGTCTGCAAGAGCGTATTATGAGAGAGCCTTACAGCTGGTTCCAGACAGTAAACTGCTGAAGGAAAATCTTGCCAAATTGGATCGCCTAGAAAAACGATTACAAGAAGTTCAAGAAAAGGATCAAAAGTAGCACCGTTTGACCCAGCCTCACAGGATAATGTGGTGCCTCTGAAAGGGGAAAGAGTGATGGAAGCCTTGCTTTCACATCAGTAGGGGGACAACTAATGAGATTTTATCTCATTCCGAGTTCAGGTGGCACATTTTGGGACATCTGCTGGTAGGTCAGTGCTGAAGGACTTGCTTTTCCATGAAGGAAGACAAAAACAGCAAACAAGGGCACGAAGGTCTGAGAAGGAAGAACGACAATTACACATTTTACAGATTTTTGTTTGGTTTAACTCCAGAGTTCTCTTGATAGGTCTCTGTGCTTTTGAGACATGGAGATCTAATTCTGTTTCCTAGTTTAGACATTTATGTCCCAGAAATACAGAAGCTTGAAATGCTGTGAAGGCAGAGCTTCTATTCTTTGGGGGGTGAAGTATTTCAAAAGAGGATAAATCCTCTGGGGTAAGCCATTTGGAAAATCCTACCAAGAATTGGCTTATTTAATTTTCCAGAACTAGATGTGAGTATCTAATAGCTTTTGTAGAAACCTCCAGAATATTTGGGGTAAAGGGCTATTGCTAAGTGAATTTTATCTAATATCCCCCTAAGAGTATTACTAGTGCTTTTTTGAGGAATAAAAAGGAAGCTCCTGGAATCATATGTGGATACCTTTATCCCTACGGGAAACTCAAGGAGCTTGACACTCCTAATTCTCTATGGAAATGTTTAAAACTATTTTACTTTTATTACAAGTATTACTAGAGTAGTGGTTCTACTCTAAGATTTCAAAAGTGCATTTAAAAATCATACATGTTCCCGCCTGCAAATATATTGTTATTTTGGTGGAGAAAAAAAAATAGTATATTCTCCATAAAAAAATTAAAGATATTAACTGAGAGAAATGTCCTACTTTATTATCTTAATATTCAGGCATCATGAGATTTACTATTTTTTTGGAAAATATATTTAACCATTGAGGAACCTTTATGATGTATCACAGAAATCTTCATAGACTCTAACTAGATTTCAAAAACAAAAAGCTCTATTTATTTCTGTTCCTAGGCTTAATGAGAATTCTAGGCTTAGAACATCAGTGATTAAAACCTAGAATTCTTTGTTCTGAGAATATTATGGAGAATGCTCTAAAAACTAAGGTAAAGATCAAATTCATAGTTTTAAATATATATATTTATATTTAAGAGATAGAAAAGGCAAAGTTGAACTCACAATTTGACATTTATTTTTAGTGTTATTTATTTCATAACTTAAAAAATGTTTAATATATATATACACACACTTCTTTTTTCTCTATACAAAGTGCTTTTAATATCGGCTATCAGAACTGATCTTACAAAATGTAAATCTAAATTGTAAAATAGTTAAATTTTAACAGTCTCTCCCAAAATTTATGTTGATTATTCACTTGCTAAAGAGATGTGAGGAGTCAGCCTTCAGTGTTTTGGCAGTCGTATACTTTGGAAGTGAAGAAATTGGAACACCTGATTCTAATTTGGTCTTCATCATTAAAAGCAAAACCAAAACACCCCAGGCAGTACTGTGTATAGTGCTGAGCCAGGTAGCACACAGACATAGTAGCCCAAAGGCTCAAATAATTCACATGCTCAGGCCAGGGCAGGGTAAAAATAGCCTTCTGTTTCTTCAACCCAGTATCAGGATGCACTACCCTAATGCTATTATTTGTTTTGTCAAGGTAAGTCTAAATAAACAAGAAAAATTTTTCCAGATGGCATGGCAGGGGGAGTATTTTAAATGCAAATAGTTACAGAATTTGAATTAGCATGCATCTGTTGGTGTGCATCAGTAATCCAATTATGTATATATTACCACTATGACCGTTTGTTTCTAATAGTCTTTCCATGGTATGTATCATAAATGTATCCACAATCTTAATTAAGATATATTCTTCCTCCCAAAATCATAGTCCTAGGGTCAAGAAACGTGCTGCAGTATTTATTGTAAAATAACCCCACCTTCAAACTGAAAAAGGCATTAAGCCCTAGTTATTAACAATGTCTAGGACTTTATTTTATTTTATTTTTTTTTTTTTTGAGACGGAGTTTTCACTCATGTTACCCAGGCTGGAGTGCAATGGCGCGATCTCGGCTCACCGCAACCTCCGCCTCCTGGGTTCAGGCAATTTTCCTGCCTCAGCCTCCTGAGTAGCTGGGATTACAGGCACGCACCACCATGCCCAGCTAATTTTTTGTATTTTTAGTAGAGACGGGGTTTCACCATGTTGACCAGGATGGTCTCGATCTCTTGACCTCGTGATCCACCCGCCTCGGCCTCCCAAAGTGCTGGGATTACAGGCTTGAGCCACCGCACCCGGCTAGGACTTTATTATAACCTTTCAGAATAATCTGTAATGAAAACTAATGCTTAAAAATTTAATGGAAAAGACTGAGCCCCAAAGGTGCTTTCCTATCTCCCCCAATTTTGAACAGCTATTATGCCTTACTTGAAGTGCTGATAAAGGTAGGAGAGTACATGGTTGGAATAACAGAAATGGTGATTTTAGCCTAAAAGTTTCTGAGGGTAAAGAGTCACATGACCTTCAGGAAACTTTCTCTGCCTCCTGGAAGGTGCTTTTCGATCTCCCCCTATCCTTCCCTACTCCTTGTCTCTTTTCTTGCTCTCTTTTTCTCTCGCTGTCACTCTGTCTACAAACACTGGCATCTTTCTAACATTCAAAGTAAGCACTGTTTTTCAAAAAAGTAATTATTTGTTGGATCAGATACTCTTATCCCAATACCTTCACTGAGATATGGCCAATGAGATAGTTTCACAGTTAAAACAGTGCCTATAAGAAAATTAATCACATACTATTTTTCAAAGATATTAAGTGTATGTTGTAACTTTTTATTTGGTCTTTGTAACATGAAATAATAAGTGGAACTTATCCTTATAATAAAAATGGAGTGCCCTGGCTCATCACAGAGGTGCATCTAGTTTGCCCTTAATGAAAGTATGCTTGCTGTATGGATTGATAGCACCTTCTTGAAATGGAGCACAGCTGGCTTCATGGATGTGCAATTTTGGCAGTCCCATAGGGCCCTGCACTCAGAAGCACCTGAGCTTAGTTGAATGTCTGTTTAATTTTTACTTATTTGTTTTTTTGAGACACAGTCTTACCTTGTCTCACTTTGTCACCAGGATGGAGTGCAGTGGCGCGAACATGACTCACTGTAGTCTTGACCTCCCTGGTTGAAGGCATCCTCCCACCTCAGCCTCCCAAGTAGCTGAGACTACAGGCATGTGCCAGCATGTCTAGATAATTTTTGTATTTTTTGTAGAGACAGAGTTTCACCATGTTGACCAGGCCGGTCTCCAACTCCTGGGCTCAAACGATGTGCCCACCTTGGCGTCCCAAAGTGCTGGGATTAAAGGCATACACCACAATGTCCGGCTGAAATCTTAATAAGTCTTAATAATTTTTGAGCAAGGGGCCCACACTTTGATTTTTCTCTGGGTTCCCACAGGTCCTGGGTAGGAAGGAAAGTGGCTAAGGACAAAACAGGAGTTGTTTGGCCTGGCTGAACATTGGAACCAATGATCAGAGTTCCGTTTTATGGTTGTGTTACTCTGAGCAGATTTGCTATATTTTTGCCAGCTACATTTAGAGTTCCTCATGTATATATCATCCCTTTTTTACCAGTCCATCTAACCTCTCCTGTGTTTGTACCTAGAATCAGTTCTTCTTGCCTTCAAAATCCCTGATAAGTGTCCATTTCTTTATGTATCCTTTGATATAGAAGCCACAAGAATGGTTTTAGCAGCTCATTTTACTTTATGAATTATTCATTCAGGATTTTTTTAAATGATTCAGATGCTTTCAATCTATAAACTGTATTTATAAAACATATTTCAGTGATATAACATAGGTGAACTAAACCAAAGATGCAAATACCTTGGAGGAAAAGAAATTTTAGAGAACCCTGAGATATATCCTTTTAGGGTTGTTTAATTTGAAGCCTATCACAAAACAAAGAGAATTGTTGCACTTTAATTCCAGCCTCCTATGTACTTCATAGCCCTTAGCATAAGATTCTGAAATTTGTCATAGGTGGACCCAGTTTGATGCAGGATTCTGCAGTGGTTTTGCATATGCCTCTGTGCAGTCAGACTAAATGAGATAATTCCAACCGTCCTATCAAAACTGACCCACGACAACTGTCATTTGAGGGGAAACAAAGCAAATGTAGGTTTCCCCTTGTCATTGTTAAACATTCCAGGTCCTCAGATTGAAGAGATACATTAGCTGATAGTTGACATCTGTTCCCTTACACATACTGGCTATCAACACAGGCTGTACTTGGAATCACCTGAGGACCTTTCAGAATCTTTGGCTGAATTATCCTAGCTGTCCATGTGATGATTCTAATGTGCAGCTAGGCTGGAGAACCACTACAAGGCTGACAGCTGTAATGGGAGTTTGTAACTTTTACAAAATAGAGGTTTATAATCTTTTACAATTTTTACTTTTAAATTTATACTAAAATGAGCCAAAGAATTCTTAAGAATGATTTATGACACTATCGGTTGGTTGAGGCTATCATTCCATGATTGACAAATAGGTGGTTATGTGGGGTGATTTTGTGCTTGTGGCAACTGGACTAAAATTTGGCCTTAAAATTGCAGAATTCCTGGTTCTCAGATGGAGAGCAATTGCCTTGAAATTTGCATGTACCAGACTAAGTGCCCAATATATATGACTGATATTGTGATGACTCATGGAGGTGCCCATGGCATAGAGTTTATGCCTACATCTCTACCTTTATTTTGGGCACACATGAGCTTTTGTTAATTATTTTTTACTAGTACTTGTTAGAATCTGTTTAAAAAAAAAAACGCTTTGATTTGTGGTGGATTCACCTTCTTAAAATAAATCTAGAGGATTTTAGTAACAACATTCAAAACAAATATAGTTATAGGTGATTTGTCTGTTTTTGATTTTTTTCCTGGTTTCCAAATTACATTTACTTTGATGAGGTTAACTTATCTATCTAAATGATATGTTTTGACATTTAAAAAGAATAAGTACATGTCAAATCTTGCATTTAGGCTGCAGTTGAATAAGATAAAAGCTTAGGGTGCCAAAAATAATATAGAGAAATATTATAACATTTTATGATTATTCTTGAAGTTTTTGATACAAATGGAAAATATGTTGAATAGTTCTTCCAAAAAATAATATTTCCCTCAATATTTTATTTATAGCCATGTAACTTAAAGAGAACAGAAAATAACTGCAACCAAAAACATGGTTCAATATCAATCTAAGTGGCCCAACAGAGTTGATAAGCTCTTTACAGCAATCAATTGGCTATTAAAATATTTTATTTTTCTCACCGAGGATCTTTTCCATTAAAATCTTTAGGGCCTGTAACTCATAAAATCGGCATCCACCACAATATATGGTCATAATTGGTTTGTAAGCATAGATAACCATTGACTCCCACCTGGAAAAACATGCCTATTTCCAAACATCCAGGCGTTTCTTCTCATTCTCAGTAGTACACATTGTATATATATATGTGTGTATCACATTTGGTAGTTTTCGATGTGTGTGATGTTCTTTGGGGGTTATCTTGTTGATCCAGGAAAGGGGTACACTAGCCCAAGAATGAAGACTTCTGAGTTCTAGTTCTAGCTCTGCCACTCAAGAGCCACCTCACCTGGGCAAGGTAGCCAGTGTCTCAGTCACGTTTACCACCCATGAAAGGACTGGCCAGTTGGATGTATCCATTAAGCTCGATGAGTCACTCTAATGATTACTTTTGAATCTGGATTGAAAAAACACTATGCATCTGATGAGATAATTCATAAATGCTGCCCTTTTTTAAATGATACAACCCTAAAAGTGACAAAATTGTCCAAATGCTTGAACATGGTGGAATTGTTACTCTTATTTTACGATCTACACACTTAAAAATTCCTACAGTGATTGATACTTTACTGGGGAAAAAAGATGAGGTGAAACTTCCTCCCAAGGAATTAAAATATCTGTAGAAGCCGTGGCTTGCTTTTACAATCTAGAAATCATTTGATTTGCTGTAATTCATAGAGATCCCTCCTTTTGTGAGGGGGAAATGACTTTCCTCATGTTCTTTGTTCATAATGCTTTTACTTCCTGTTTTGATCAGTTGTATGTAAATGTACATTTTTGTTACTTTGGCTGTGCCCGTTAGAATTTATTTCCCATAAAGTATTTCTCCCATTGAGTGTAATGATGTATACTTTGCCTAGGTCTTTGCAAAATTAAATTTATGTAAATGTCTATTTTCTATAAAATATGATGAAAATAAGTATGTCTGGTTTCAATCTCTCAAGCACTTCATGGTTAGTACCTACTGATGTGTATGTCACCAGGAATGTCTGTTTCAACAATTTTTTTAAAAGGACCATCTTCCTTCCTTCTTTCATTCATTTACTCATTTCATTGCATTGATCTGTGTGCTTCCTGTCTGCGCTCTTTCCCTTCCACCACACAGTGCCAATTCAGTACTTGCCCACTCCAGATCCGCTCCCCCATCATGCTTAGATGCCTCCATCTCTCTTTTCACAGAGTAAATAAAATGTGGAAAGCAGATATCCCCCAATGCCCTGCACTTCATCTGTACATTTACCTGTACCTAATTCTATCCTTTCTTTTCTCCTGTTATCATAATGGAAGAAGAGAACCCTAGGTTCTGGATTTTGCTTCTTATGGAACTTCATTCCATTTCTTAACTTCTCCATCTTTTAACTTCTTCCTTTTGCTGGCTCTTGTCAATTTGGTAGTTCTCCTCTATCTTAAAGCAAATACACAGGTAATTAACATCAAAACAATTTGAAAAAAAAAAAAAAATCCTTCCTGTATTTCATTCTATCTGTAGCTGCTATCACAGCTCTCTCTGTCCTTCGCAGGCAAGCTTTTTGAATAGCAGATCGCAGTTGTCCTCTACTAGTGAAGATGTCCAAATTAAAGACAGATTTTCTGTACATCACAAGTCACCACTTTCTGGGGGTAGTCCAACCCACTCCTCTCCTTGATATCCTTTCCTTTTCTGAAGTTATTTTAAGCATAAAAAGAGAATTCTTCCATTTGGATACTGTACTGTACTATAACTACAAATTCAATTTATATTTAAACCATTACTTTATTAGAAAATTTGAGTCTAAAAATAATGGCCTGGTTTTTTTTATTTTTATTTTTTATTTTATTTTATTTTGTGACAGTCTTACTCTGTCACCCAGGCTGGAGTGCAGTGGCGTGATCTTGGCTCACTGCAACTTCTGCTTTCCGGGTTAAAGTTGATTCTCATGCCTCAGCCTCCTGAGTAGCTGGGATTACAGGCATGTGCCACCACACCCAGCTAATTTTTTTTTATTTCTAGTAGAGGTGGAGTTTCACCATGTTGGCCAGGCTGGTCTAGAACTCTTGACCTCAGGTGATCCATCCACCTCGGTCTCCCAAAGTTCAGGAATTACAGGCATGAGCCACTGTGCCTGGCCTATGACCTGGCTATTAATGGTTTGTAATTCTTATTCAATGGCTCTTTTCCCACTTCTTTTAAAGGAATTATTCTGTGAGGGCTCTAAGGGACTAAACCTCTGTATATAAGAATAGGGTCTCAGTTGAAGCTGTGGGTTTTGAACTCTGGAACCAAAGGGAGTTGTTCTGTAACAGGAAATGAGACAGTGCCCCACCACATGAAGATTCCCAGATTTGAAACAAACCACAGAATATCCTGCAAAGCTGTGTGCCATTGGCAGAAGAGTGAAAGGGAACAGCAGCTGTGGGCCTCACGGAAGGGCTGGACATCGTATGACCAGCAACTTGAGCATTGCTGGCCTGACTGTTCTTGCACAGCACATGTTCACCTTTTTGTTCTTTCCCTTTTATTTAGTAAAGGCTTTTTGGTGGCTTTCATCTTACCTCTTGCTAAAAAGAAAGAGGGCTTTGGACCCATCCGGGGGCTCTGAGCTTTTATTGGAAAACAGTGTGGTCCTGGAGCTGGTATGGTGGTTCAAATGGTCACCCCTGCGAGATGACTACAGGGAGGAGAGCAGTGAGGGCCTCTGGTCAGGCAGCCACCACACCTGGACATTCCCTGGACAGAACCTGGAGTTTCCATGTTTTATTTTCACGGAAGACCTGCTTACCTTAAGAGCACGCTGGACACCCCCTATCCCCTAGACACCCATGCATGAAACCAAGGAGTCATCTACTCAAACTGTCATCTAAGATGTCATTCCTTGAAATCAATATTTAAAAGAAAATAGTGCTACTCTCAAGAATGGCACAGTCCAATACAGCTATTGGTGGCGATGGAATGTCCTATATTTGTGCTGTTCAACATGGTAGCCACTAGCCACAGGTGGCTGCTGAGCACTTGAAATGTATCTAGTGTGACTGAATTTTTAATTTGATTTCCTGTTAATTTTAATTTATATAGCCACATATGATTAATGTCTGCCACATTGGTCAGTGTAGCTCTAGAGTTTTTTCATGTAGTGGAACTTGGGACGTAGGAATCACAGAAACCACCCTGGACAACATGGTGAAACTGCGCCTCAAATATGAAAAGTTAGCTGGCGTGGTGGCATGCTCCTGTAATCCCAGCTACTTGAGAGGCAAAGGTGGGAGGATCACTTGAGCCTGGGAGGTTGAGGCTGCAGTGAGCTGAGATTGCACCACTGCACTCCAGCCTGGGAGACAGAGTGAGACCTCATTTGAAAACAAACAAAAAAATCACAGAAGCCACTTTGGGTTCACGAGACAAGAAGGTTTGAGATGTGTGTTTCAAGTTTGAGTGCCAGTCATATTAAAAAAAAAAAAAAGTTTTCTTTTTTTTCTTTTCAGAGACAAGGTCTTGCTGTATTGCCCAGGGCAGAGTGCACTGGCTAGTGATGGGTGAGATCCCACTACTGAACTGCAAGGGAGTTTTGACCTGCCCGGTTTCCAACCTGGGCCAGTTCACCTTTCCTTAGGCAACCTGGTGGTGCCCTGTTCCAGGGAGATCACCATATTAATACTGAACTTAGTGTGGAGAGACTCCAGATTGGCATAGTGCCCTACAATCCAGAGCTCCTGGGCTCAAGCCAGCCTCCTGCCTCAGCCTCCCCAGTAGCTGGGACTACAGGCCACATGCCACATCACCAGGCATCATTCACTTTTTTTAGGCTTTTCATCAAAAGGTGTCCATTCACCCTCTGCTCTCTCCTGCAGTCACAGAGGTCATTGTCCCCAGTAGATTGTCACCTGCTTTTACCTGTGCCTGCATTCTCTCCACCTTGACTGCCTTCTGTGTTCCCATCTACCTGTTCATCTCCCACCTGTCCCCCTTGGTTTATTTATCCTCCTACCTCAAGAAGCTTTTATTTCTATTTTACATGAAAGTAGAATGTTGCACTTAAAAGTAAAATCCTCCAACTGGTGCTGGAGGACTGGTGTCCAGGTTATTTGATATATATATAGAATGCCCATTTAGCCTTGCCCTAATTTTCTGACAAAATGTAAGATCATTACAAATTCTGGCTTTGTTTGTCTTCCAATTTCAGCCTAACTTGTTACAAAATAATATTCAAGGAAAAAAGGTGACATCTCACCAATAGATTAGTTTCAATGATCTCAAATGATGGATCCTACAGCTTTCGACCCATTCTGCTGAAATGGATTACAATACTTGTCACCCGGAAAATGATGGCAGCTCAAGCGTGATCTTTGCTATTCACTCTTTGAAAACTCTTGAGGATCAAGAGCTCCAACAAGCTTCTTAGAAGGGGTAGTATTGTTCTAAGCTTAAGGAGCTTCCACCTTTCAGAAGTCCTGCCTGTGTTTTGCGTGGGGGACCAGCTTCATTGCCCTCGAGCCCGGGCGGCACTCCCCAACCTGGGACAGAAGTCGCAGGGCTAAGCGTTACAGGCCACTGATTGGCTTGCTCTTGATCTGCTGGCAGGAACCTCTGCACACGTGAGAGCGCCCCTGCCGCCCCTGAGGACACCTTGCGCCAGTCTCTAAGGCTGTGATACCGGGCGTGACCAGAGGGCGGCGGCAGCTCACAATGATGTGATCAATTGAACGTGAAGAGGGACACCTGCGAACCCAGGTGCCACGGCAGGTGCTGCCCATAGGCGGGTCAGGAGGGCATAAAGGACGCGGTTCCCGCTTTCCCCGCAGAGTTTTCGCAGCCTGCAGGAGGGAAGGATGTGCGAGGCGGATGCGTGAGGATATGGGGGTGCTGGCCAGTGCTGGTTTGTTGCTATTGCTAGTCATGGGCCTTCCCAGAAGCCTAGGTGAGCCCAGGCCCCTCGTTACCGGGACTGTGGAGGAGACTGAGCATTCTGGAGAGGGAAAACTTCATAACTCCTTGCCTCAGGAAGGCTGGGTGGTATAGGCACACGTGAGGCATTTGGGAAGAAAGAGTGAGGGGGTGGTGCACGCCCAGATGTCCCCAAAGGAAGGCCTGGGCCAGATTTCCTTTTTGAAATATTTTAGATTCTAGAGTTCAAGTTTTTAGGCACACCTGCTAACTATGTGTGTGCTAAGGAGCCTGCTCCAAGGAAACCTAACCAAGTAGAAGTAACTTAAAGTCAAGTATCTCCCTTCCAGAGTAGTACATGTCATTTCCCAATATCTTTGTTTCATTTTGTTTTGTTTGTTTGAGACGGAGTCTCGGTCTGTCGCCCAGGCTGGAGTGCAGTGGAGCAGTCATGGCTCCCTAAACCTCCAGGGCTCATATGATCCTCCTGCCTCAGCCCCCCAGTATCTGGGACCACAGGCATGTGCTACCACATCTGGCTAATTTTTGCATATTTTTGTAGAAGTGAGGTCTTATCACGTTGCCCATGGTCCTAAACTCCTGCGTTCAAGCGATCAGCCCACCTGGGCCTCTGAGATTACAGGCCTGAGCCACTGCACCTGGCCTCTGATATCTTTAACCCAACTTAAATGTGCATATTCCCAGAGTAAGCCCTAAGTCACCTACCAGAGGCAGTGCTGGCTCCTTCCTGTCCAGTGGTAGCACAGACTGAAAGGGAGTAGGCAGGAGGCAAATTCTGGTCAACCCGGGTGCCTTGGGATTTTCTGAAGAAAGTATTGAGAGAAGAATGTGATAGTCTGCAGCTAAGTGGTATCATAACGTCTGTGCCAGGCCAGGAAAATCCAAACAGGAAATCTTGGTAAAGTAAACTCTTAAATAAGGTTCTGTGTGTGCACTCACACACTGTGCACGTGTGTGAGTGCACACACGCACGTGCTCTCTTCTACGAAGGACTGAAGTGTGGAATTCGCGTGGTCAACATGAAAAGTAAGGAACCTGTTGTGGGATCTGGGTTCTTCTCTAGAATTAGTAGTTGGAGAAATTCAACAGTGGCTGGACATCCTTGGCAGGTCAGTACAACAAAGGCATTGATTTCTTAATGCGAAAACAGTGAAATATTTCCTTTGTTTCAAAACCAAGAATCCAGGTTGATATGCAGTTTTTCTCCTGACCTCCTCTAGCTCTCTACCAAAAAGTTTACTTCCAATTTATGTCAGTATTTGAAGAACATTATGTCTGATTAGAAGAGTTGATATCCAGTGTTTCTGATGGAGATACATCTGTGGGGAGACATATTAGCTGCATTTGTAACTTTCTTCTTGGGTAGGTCTCCCTAAAATTAAATGAGCACCACTTCTGTGGAGGAAGCTTGATTCAAGAAGATCGAGTTGTTACAGCAGCACACTGCCTGGACAGCCTCAGTGAGTAAGTTGTGAATTTCCATTACTTGTCAGGCCCTGATTCCTGGCTATGGGACTGGGAGATTTGTTGCTCTAAATAGGTTCATTTTCAATCCCTTTCTTTACTTTTCTTTTTCTTTTTTCGAGATGGAGTCTCACACTGTCACCCAGGCTGGAGTGCAATGGCATGATCTCTGCTCACTGCAACCTCCACCTCCTAGGTTCAAGTGATTTTCCTGCCTCAGCCTCCCAAGTAGCTGGGATTATAGGTGCCTGCCACCAAGCCCAGCTAATTTTTTGTATTTTTAGTAGAGATGGGGTTTCACTATATTGGCCAGGCTGGTCTCAATCTCCTGACCTCGTGATCCACCTGCCTCAGTCTCCCAAAGTGCTAGGATTACAGGCGTAAGCCACCACGCAAGGCCCCTCAATCCCCTTCTTAATTTTGCCTCCCAGTGTACCCACACACTGATCTTCCTGATTCCCGGAAAGGTGTATCTGTCCCAAGATTTCCAGTGCTTCCTGTTCTACTGAATAGAGACTCTAAACAATCCAGGACATCATCTATAATTTATGAATTTAGTGCTTGGATAGAGGCAGTGGTTACTTATTATAATAAAGCATGAACAAAAAATGTTAAATGGAGCCTCCAAAGTTTTGATCATCTGGGTTTAAATAATTAGGAGGGAAAAAACTGCAGAAATTACAAATACTTGACCAGATCAAAAGAGGGTATATATAAGAGAAAAGAAGGAACAGTTCTAGAAAGCAATTTTTATATCCTGTTACAAATGGCATAGCATGTGTGAACTATGGTTTGTATATGAAAGAAGAAAAGGAGGCAATATTTAAATACTTGACTCAGAAAAATGGAAACATGACTGAAAACCATGACTTTTTCTAGATTAAAAAAAAATTATGACCATTGGTAATGATAATAAGGAAAACCTTCTTCAAAGACTTGGGGATGCTTAAAGGTACATTAATCACTTTTTCTTTAATGACATCCCACCAAGAAATCTTGCCTAGGGGAAACAACTACTTATGAAAAATATTTTCCTTTGGTTTTAGGAAGCAACTGAAGAATATAACTGTGACATCTGGGGAGTACAGCCTCTTTCAGAAGGATAAGCAAGAACAGAATATTCCTGTCTCAAAAATTATTATCCATCCTGAATACAACTGCCATGAATATATGAGTCCTGATATTGCACTGCTGTATCTAAAACACAAAGTCAAGTTTGGTGAGTATGGAGAGTTAGAATATTAAAAATCCAATGGGGAAAAACTGCTAATTATATACAAGTTAACTTTAATTTCTGTGTGGCTGTCTAGTAATAGAATAGCTAAGCTTTGTTTCTTTTTAAAATAATTTTGTTCAATCCATAACCTATTAAAAAATAAACTACTGTACAGGCTACATGTCCCAGCCACGAATTACTTATGCTTAACAATCAACTTTTTTCCTTTTTATTTATTTCTATTGATACACATTAGATGTACGTATTTTCAGGGTACATGTGATAATTTGAAACATTCGTATAATCAAATCAGGGTATCTATCACCTTAAATATTTATAATTTTATATGTGATAGGAACACTTGAATTATTTCTCTTCTAGCTATTTTGAAATATACAATCAATGAATGCTAATTGTAGTCATCCTACTGATCTATCAAACATCAGGTCTTATCTCTTCTAAGTGTATATTTGTAACCATTATCAACCCCTCTTCATCCTCCTCTCTTCCCTACCCTTCCCTGCCTTTCATAAGCACAGGTTTAATCTCTATTTTCGTGAAATGTAGTATTTTAGCTCCCACGTAAGTGAGAATATGTGGTACTTGTCTTTGGCTTATTTCACTTAACATCCATGTTCAGTTCCGTCTGTGTTGTTGCAAATGACAAGATTTCGTTCTTTTTATGGCTGAATAACATTCCATTGTGTATATATACTACATTTTCTTTATTAATTCATCCATTGATGAACAACTTAGGCTACGTCCATATGTTGGCCAATTGGTATTTTAAGGACTTCTGTGTCTTGGCTGGACTACATTCTACCTACCTGCCTGTATTCATCTCTAAACAAAAAGCTTTAAACATTTGAAAATGTTTTCAGAGACTTCTTTCAGTAATTACTGTGAACAAGATATAACACTCTCTCAGCACAGGTAACATAAACATTCTGGGTAAAACACTAAAAACCTTATTTAAAAAAAAAATGCCAAAAAAGCAAGTATGTTAAGTGGCCAAAACCAAAGCACAAATCCAGAGTAGTTAGCCAGGGCACTGCCCTTGAGGGATCAAACTGATCTTTAAGGTCCTAGAGATTTACCTGGCCATCAGGGGAGCTGTAAAGACCCTGGAACTTTCTGAAAGGTGATGCTTTGAAAGGTAGGGAGAAGGAGTTAGGGGAGTTATGTTACAGAAAGTGAGGGAATAAGGACACTTACTTGTGTCAACCTTGGCTTTGGAGAGAGGGTTCTCAGAAGTATCTGTAATCATGAGCCAGGCTTCAGTCAGGTTTGATGCTGGAATTGACATCACCTGTGTGGCACAAAAACGCCAAGGCAAGATTTTAAAGAGGTTCCAGGTGAGGATTCAGACTCTGGCAGAAGCAAAAGTAAATCCTCTCTGAGATAATGAAATTTAAATCCCAGCTTCAATATATTCCCATAAAGTTTTAATGAATTCAAGCACACAACCATGCAGAGAAATTTGCATTGAAGATAGAATCTGAAGCATTAACAATCAGGTTACAAATTTCATGATAGAGAATAGAAAATAAGTATAGTAAAGCTTAAAGAAGTAAAAGTGTATTGAAAATGACTGAACCATGCTAAACTATTAGATGGAAGGGAAATTTGAAAAGAAGCTAATAAAACATGAAAATATAAAAATGTAATTGGAATTAGAAACTCAACAGAATACTTATCTACCAGATTAGATTAGGTGTATGGAACTAGACAAACTGAAATAATTACCCAGAGGTGACAATGAGGGTAAGAGACAGAGAAGACGGTGTAGTAAACATCCAATTTTAAGTTTAGAAAGAATATGGACATTCGTGGAGAGAGACTGTAATTTAAGTTAAAGTGACTGAGAATTGACCATAATTGAGATCCAAATATTTAGATTTAAAAAGCCTAGTGACTCTATGATATAAAAAATAATTTTATATCTAGACATGTGTGTAAAATGTAGCACACTAAAAGTCCCAAAAGAATCTAGAAGGAAAAAGACATATTAACAAAAAGGAATGTTACTGACTTCTCAACAATAGTAAGTTAATGTCAGAAGATAGTGGAACAAGATGATCCAAATACTGAGAATATCTCAAACTGGAATTGTATATGAGAGGAAACTATTGCCCCATTTTTTCTTTCCTTTATAGCAAGTCAATGCTAGTTGTGTCAATTTCGTTTCCTCAATTCTCATAGTTGGATGTATTAGGTTAAGATGTCTGTTCTACATTTAAAAAGATCAAACTTTCACTCCGCTGTTCCATAAATTTAGTCTTGTCACAGTCACTAATGACCTCTATATTGCTAAATTCAAAGTAACTACTCAAATCCCATCTTTCTGGATAAGAGTTTTTTAGCAGAATTGCTCATATGTTCTTGGAAATATTTTCTTCACTTGCATTCTGGGAATTCATTAGTTATTCTCCTACCCTATTGTACCCTTTCTTAGTCTTCTATGATGATTCCCCCTCTTCTCCTTGACTTCATATTGTTAGAGTACCCAGTCTCAGCCCTGGACATCTTATTCCCTAGTTGTACTCATTCTCTTAGTGATCTCATCCAGGATAAAGAATTTAAACACCATCTGCTACTTGAAGACTACTCTTAGCCTAGGTTTCTTTATATTGCATATGCTTCTGAAATTAGTGGAATTCTTGTAACCAATTGTCAACTGGTCATGCAACTGCATAGCTAATAGGCATCTCAAACTTAATATGTTTAACACAGAATCCTGACCACCTCCACATCTCATGGATGCCTACCTATAGCCTCCCTCATTTCAGTTAATGACAACTCCATCCTTCCAGTTGATTTGGCTAAAAAACTTTGGATTCGTTTTTTATTATTCTTTCTCTGATACTGTACATCCAATGAGTCATAAAATCCTGTTGCTTCTGCCTCACTCACTTCACGCTTTTGCTATCTTATTCCAGGCGATACTACCATCATGTCTTACCTGGATGAATTTTAGTGGTCTCTGAAATTGTCTCAAGCTGCTTCTGTCTTCCCAATGTTTGTTATTAACCCAGTGACAAGAATAATGCTTTTTAAATTCATAAATCAGGTTATGTCACCCTATTCATACCACTTCAGTGGTTCTTTATTACATTTAGATGAAAATCAATGTCATTATTATCTGAATACCCTCTTTCCTAGTCCTACATCTAACCTCTGATTTGTTTATTTTTTTACAAAACCTTTTACTTAATCTATTCCAGTCATCCTGGTCTCCCACTGTTCCCTAAACATATATGCATGACCCTGTAGCAAGGATTGTTTCTCCATCAAATGCCTTCCACCCAGATAACTGCATGATTCCTTTCCTTAGCTTCAAGACTGCTCAGATGTCACCTGCTCAGTGAGACTTTTCATGATCATCATATTTAAAATGATTTTTCCCATGCCATTCTCCCTCATCTCCAGACTTATCTCCTTTATCCTAATTTTTTCCATAGCGTGTGTTTACCACTGAACAACTTATATTTGCTGTCTGTTTCATCTCCCCTCTCCCAACACACAAACGCAAATATACACACTCGTGTAGGCTCTCCCCAGAGATATTTTTCTTTCTATTCATTTTATTGAGACCTAAAAGAGTGATTAACACATGATATTTTTATCACGTTGTTCTACTGTCTTCTGACATTCACTTATTGCTGTTGAGAAATCAATAACATTCTTTTTTTGGGTAATATGATTTTTTCCTTCTAGATTTTTTTGAGATCCATTATTTTTTGTGTGCTACATTTTCAGCATGTGTCTAGATATAACGTTATTTTTTGTATCATAGTTGGAGTTACTAGGCTTTTTAAATCTAAAGATTTGGATATCAATGATGATCAATCCCTCAGTCACTTTCTCTTAAATTACAGTCTCTCCCCACTTTTATCTATATTTTTTCTAAACTTCACAGGTTTTTTACAGTTCCTTTCATGGCCAGGTAAATTTCTAGGATCTTAAAGATCAATTTGATACCTCAAAGGTGGTGGCGTGGCTAATTCCTCTGGATTTGTGTTCAATAACTGTTGAATGAAAAACTATCCTTTCAAAACAAAAGCATAGTCTAAAATGTTGATAGGTTAAGGGGATCGTGGTGGTGTGCAGAACAATAGGTTATGTTTTTCCTTGTTTTACTTTTTCTGCATTTCTCTAAATTTCTGTAACTATGAAGCAGTTTTATATGGGGAGGGCAAAACTTAAAATATGTCATTATTACATTTAGGAAGAAAGTATAGAACCCATGAAATCAACAGATAGCACTTTTCCAAATATATTCAACATGACTTATTTATCCATGAACCTCACGCCTTTGGTGTTGTTTTCTCAGGAACTGCTGTTCAGCCAATCTGTCTTCCCCACAGTGATGATAAAGTTGAACCAGGGATTCTTTGCTTGACCAGTGGATGGAGCAAGATTTCCAAGAGTAAGAAACATTAAAATAACTTAATACTTCTTCCAGCTCTCTGAATGTTCAGGAGAAGCAGAAATAATTTTGTTGACCATGTACCAAAAGGCTTATACTTTTTTTAAGACTATTCATATCACTCCTGCTGCTGCCAATTTGGTTAGGTATAGCAGATAAAGGAAGTTGGATAGAACTATGATGGATGAGGAGGAATACGGCAAAAGGATAATCAGGAAATAGTAACAATAGTTAAGCCTCTTTGTCTTTAATATTGTGACCTTTTTAAAAAGTCAGACTCATAGAAACAAAAAGTAGAAGGGTGATTACCAGGGATATGAGAGAGGGGAGGGGGGAAGATGTTGTTTAAAGGATGTATATGTGGAATTACATGACAAGTAAGTTCTGGGAACTCAGTATACTGCATGGGAACTATAGTTAATATATTGAATACTTGAAATTTGCTAAGAGAGTAAATGTTAAGTATTCTCACTACAAAAAAGTTAACTCTGTGAAGTGATGTAACATTAATTAGCTTGATTGTGGTAATCACTTTACAATGTATACGTATATCAAAACATCACTTTTGTACTCCTTGAAAAAATAGTTTTTATTTGTCAAAGATACCTCAAAGCTTGACAAAAATACATTGTGATTTTTTATTTTATAAAGAATTTTTGGCAGGGCCCAGTGGCTCACACTTGTTATCCTAGCACTCTGAGAAGCCACGGCAGGAGGGTGGGAGCCAAGCTATTCAAGACCAACCTGGATAACATAGGAAGACCTTGTCTCCACACACACACACACACAAATTTAAATTAGCCAATTGTGGTAGCATGCCTGTAGTTCCAGCTACTTGGGAGACTGAGGTGGGAGAATCACTTTCTCTCAGGAGGTTGAGGCTACAGTGAGCCATGATTGCACCACTGCACTCCAGACTGAGTGACAGAGGGACACTTTGTCTCAAAAAAATAAAAAGATTTCTATAAAACATTGCTTTATTGACCAAAGTTTTCCTCTTGGGGAAGCATTTGTTTAAAGAATCCACAATTAAACAATTGCCTATTTTACCTTAAAAATCTGCTAAAGTTTTTAAAAATGTCCTCTATCACTTATCTGATTTTTAGAAGTGAATATGATTCACACAGAAAAACAATGACTTCCACCTGTGGTTAAAAATCTGTTTGAAATAGTTTTAAGAGTTTAAACTATTTTAATAGTTTTAAAATACTTCCACCACAGGTGGTAGTCATTGTTTTTCTCATTAATTTGTTTCCATGAGGATATTGTGTACTAACATATCTGCCCTCTCTCTACAGCATCAGAATATTCAAATGTCCTACAAGAAATGGAACTTCCCATCATGGATGACAAAATGTGTAATACTGTGCTCAAGAGCATGAATCTCCCTCCCCTGGGAAGGACCATGCTGTGTGCCAGGTTCCCTGGTGGGGGAGTGGATGCCTGCCAGGTACAAAAGTATAAACCAGCCTAGTTGTTCAGTAACATGTGAGTGAAAGTAGATTCTGCCTTTCCTCAAAAGAAGCTTATGCTTCTTCTGTTACTGGGTCAAACTTCCTTTTCCCTTCATCTTTCCATCTTATTTCTACTGAAAAAGTATAATTGACCTGAGCAGAAAGAATTATTTCCTATATTCTTGTTTCTCTTCAGATCATATAAATCTTTCGCCTTTTACTAAAGAATTATTTCCTGTCTCCATGACTATTCCTACCCCTACGCTTCTTTTATTTTGGTGGGTTGGGGAAAGGAGTTAGTTTCAATGTGTTCAACCCAATGGAATCAAGCAATATCACCACTTTCACAATCTTACTAGGTCCAGCTCTGAATTCTTCATTTCACATGTTGTTAAGCATTATGGATTCTTTTCTTTCATGCAGAATATATTTGTACAAAGTTTGACCAAAGATGCATAACTTTAGTGACTGTTGTATAAGGGATATTGTGAATGACCACGCTCTCCCAAGGCTGACACAACTTCACAAAGAACAGCAATCTTCACAACATATTTAGAGGGACAAGGAGGTCAATTTGTGAAACACATTAGTTTTAAGTTTTAGACAGGTCTTCCAAGTAAATTATCTTCTCTTTTAAGGTGGAGCAGTAAAGAGTCATTATTCTTTGCCAGAAAGCAGCTTGAAAATATTGTGGGAAGCTCTCTGAAATTATCTGTTGGACGGATTTTTGAGTTTTTCTTCAAGCGGGTAACAGGAGTTTGGGAGGGAGGAAATTGAAACTTACACTTATGCCACTTTCTATATTGGAAAATAGATAGGCTAAAGGTGCTTTTTGCTATCTGTATTCATTATAGATAATCCTTTCATGGATGAAGCCCTCCTCCACACCTTTTGAGGAGAGTTTAATCTGACACAACGTTGCCTGAAACATACTCTTAAAGCATGGATTCTGGAACCTTATTGAAGATGTAATCCTAAAATCTTGGGCTCTTTATTCTGTGGCATGAGAGTCAATGTGGTCCTTTACATACATCCCCAGGGACAAAATTAGGTTTCCCAGGCTTTCCGTTTTTAAAGCCTTGAGGCCTTGAGCTATCTTGGGGGATCCATTCACTGTTGCTCTATAGGACTGGAAGATACCTAGTCTTTACTAGCAATTCCAGGTGACAAACTATAGTAGAAGCATCTATGTGAACTACCTCCCTTCTAACGATTTTTAGAATGTACACAGTAGTGAAAAAAAAAAAAAACCGGAAGAGAAATTGTTAGCCTAACAAGATTGCTGACAGTAAGTATAAAGAGATTTTATCTGGATGAAAAGATTGTGCTTGAAACTAATGATAAGGACCCAAGAAAATAGATAAACAAAAGGTTGATGGATACTGACTACTGGACTTCTTTGCCTCTACCTCTGTCCACTTTGTGATGACTGCTGATGTTTGTGGAACTGATGAAATGTTTTACAGGCTATTTTTAAATTTTCTCTTTTTTTTACCATGAAAGGGGGACTCTGGAGGACCACTGGTTTGTAGAAGGCGTGGTGGAATCTGGATTCTTGCTGGGATAACTTCCTGGATAGCTGGTTCTGCTGGAGGTTCAGCTCCTCTAAGAAACAGCTATATGAAGGCATCACTTGGCATTTTCTCCAAAGTGTCTGAATTGATGGATTTTATCACTCAGGACCTGCTCACAAGTAGGTGAATTCTTTCTTCCTCATCTCATTCTAACTCAAGGGTAGTTACTCTGCTATGTTGCAATATTATCAGATCTAAGCTTTAGAACAAAGCAAGAATATGGCTGGTTTTAAATTCTTAATCCAATGTAGATACTTGTATCTCTGAAACCCTGAGTAAAGAATTCTGTTTATGTAACTTGAACAAACCAAATCCCTGTATAAAATTTTCACGAGATGCCTTTTTACATTTATGAGATTTTATTAACAGACCTTGAAAATAGGCTCATCAGGGGATTCTGTCTTCATTTTTTTCAGTTGGCATATTTTTTCTCTGTACTATTTAAGAATACTAAAAATAAATCACTCATCTTCCACTTTGCCCACTCAACTTTGTTAATTTTACTTGGCAACGATGAAAATGTGAGGCCTTGGAGAGTTAATTTGGCTCTGTGACAATAAAATCTAGATTAGGAAAATGTGGACCTTGGAGATACCAAACCTGCCCTCTGCAGAATGAAAGAGGACTGAGAGAGCACAGCTTTCAGGAACAAACAGTTGAATATAGAAACCTAATATTCTTTTAAATGGCAAGACCCAGAGCCCAAGAACATAGCCTTCTCGCCATCCTTCATCTGTTTCTCATGGCAGTCCAAGGTCAGCCACCTGACTGAGGCTTTTAGAAGTGGCACTGTGGATCCCACCGCAGACCAGCACTTCCTCAGACTGCTACAGACTCTCCTTTTGTCTTAGATGTAAAAGTCCTCTTCACTGCTCCACTGCAGGGGAACAGTTCTCTTCTAGTAGCAATTGTGTTCCATTTGATCACCTGGAAGGGAAGGTTGACAAAGTTTAAAAGCCCTGAACAAAGGTTAATGGTAACAATAAGATTTTACAAGAACAATGAAATCCGACATTAGTGGTTAATTCCAGTCAAATGAACATCAGAATATGATAAGTGATTTATTTAAATAATGCTTCCTTAGGATAATCTTCTAAGCTTCTCATCCTCTATTTGCTGATTTTTTTTCTAGTTCATTTTCTCCTATCTCTTTCCAGAAATGGCTATGCTCTGGAAATGGGATTAAATTTAGTTTTCTTAACCCTTAAAAATGAGAGAATTGAATCTTTCACATCTTATTTTTAAAGCCACACTAGCCATCAAATCAAATAAATTGCTTTCTGCTTCCACATAGTCCTTTAGCCTTTTTAAAACACACAGTGAGTTGCTGACTCTGAGAAAAGATTCCCTCTGCACTGATTTTAGTAGTAGCAGAAATTATAATTCTTAATATTCTTTTAACGTTGCATTGTTAAAAATTTTTCATTTAAATGATTATTATTGGGAAAGGCATTGACTCTTTATACCTTCTACAGGTTTGAATCGGGGCCAACCCCACTCAAAAGTGAGCCTAAGATACATAACAAAGGCCCTGAGTTCTGTTCAAGAAGTGAACAGAAGCCGGAGAGGAGAGGGTATGTGAAGTTCTAATTAGAGAAAGAAGTTGACTTGAAAAAATGTCATCAGAGGAGCACAAACGGAAGGACTGTACCATATTTATTATCTGAGTTTTGTTTAAATTCTTGAATGTAAACTTTAAATGCCCTGCTCATATTCCTACATAGGTTTCAGCATTTAAAACCCAACCCTGGCATCTAAAACTTTTGAGTGAATGAGGGAGACTTGCCATGGCATTGCTAAAAGTTTTAAATCAAATTTACTTTATTTTATTTTGAGATGGAGTCTTACTCTGTCATCCAGGCTGGAGTACAGTGGCAAGCAATCTCAGCTCACTGCAACCTTTGCCTGCTGGGTTCAAGTGATACTCCTGCCTCAGTCTCTGAAGTAGCTAGAATTACAGGTGCCCCCCACCATGCCCAGCTAATTTTTATATTTTTAGTAGAGACAGGGATTCACCATGTTGGCCAGGCGTAAGCCACTGCATCCAGCTTATTAAGCGTCTTTTTTTTGGTGGGGGGGGACTGAGTCTCGTTCTGCCACCCAGGCTGGAGTACAGTGGCATGATTTTGGCTTACTGCATCCCAGGTCCAAGCAATTCTCCTGACTCAGTCTTCTGAGTAGCTGAGACTACAGGCATAGACCACCACACCTGGCTTGCTTGCTTGCTTATTTATTTATTTATTTAAGTAGAGATAGCGTTTCATCAGGCTTGATCTTGATCTCCTGACATCAAGTGATGCACCCACCTTGGCCTCCCAAAATGTTCTTTAGCATCTTTATACAAAGGTATTTAACCTTACCAGAGACAGCCTAGAAAGAGATGGGAAAGATGGATAAATGCTGCATATGAAGAGCTGTTTTAAAAGATGTTGATTTTGATTCAAATTATGAATTCAGAAATGTTTTTAAAGTCTGTTTGCTAATCCAATGTCTAAATCATAGCCTTTAAAAATATTTGCACTCCCATAAATATCAATAATATAAATAATATAAATTGTACAGCTTCAGGCTGGCCTCTGTATCATTTTGAAATGTTGTCTATAGGTGGGGCAAATGATCGACTTCTTTCCCATGTTTTTGAAGATTGTAAACCTCAAGGGACAGTGTTATTTGGAGAAAGTAGGAAGATTTGTTACCCCCATTCCAAAGGAGACAACTATTCTCATAATTGGTATGTATCCCACATAGGAATGATTCCTGGGGCTTTTCTTCCCACAAAATGGGGCAGTTTAAAAGACACTACTGTAGCATTTTTTTTTTTTTGAGACAGGTTCTCCCTATGTTGCCCAGGCTGGGCTTGAACTCCTGGGCTCAAGGTATCTTCCCACCCCAGCCTAAAGTAGTAGGGATTACAGGGGCATCCCACTACACCTGGCTTATTTTGGAAATTTTATCTAGTATCTCCAGTTCTAATATAAAAGTATATGTTTCATCTGATATTTTTTGGTTGGTGAATATTTACTCATCAATATAAATCATCAACCTGAATAGTTACTAAAGTTTACTTGAATTGATGTATTCAAATAATGTAACACAGCATTTGGTAATGAGATTGCTGTGGGATTTAGTGATTAGTTCTGTCACACTTATTTCTATAAACAAGCAAAATATATAAATATTTTCCTTAGCATCACCTAGAAGATGGAAAATAGTTCATGTCCTATAAGCTTGAGTATCTTTTTATAACTACATACCCTGTCCTCTAAAATATATCTAAATATAGCTAAAACTCTTTAAGCTTTAGAAAATCATTCTGCAAGTATCTCATTTTCTTAAGTAATCTAAATTCATTTTAAAAATTATACTGAGAATTGAATAGCATACAACAAAGATAACAGTTCTGCAAGTTTATAATCTGGTAGAAAGAGACAAAAATAACTATACTACAAAAGAAGAGGAAATAAGCTTTATAATCCACATCATCCAAGAACGTGCACACTGTAAAAAAATAGAAGCTAATTATCTTTGGTGTGGTTTTTAAGGTGTGTGTGTAGAGTGGTTAGAAGTGTGGGGAGAGATAGAGATGTTTTAGTGAGAAAGATGGCATTGAAATGAGGTGTTGAAGGGTAGTTACGATTTTATAGCTCATGAGGTCTTTGGTAGCCCTAATATTAAAGATTTCAACAGATGGAGATGAGGCAAGAGGTCATTCTAGTCCAAGGGAATTAGGTATAAGCAATGTCAAGGAGGTGGGAAGATTGGAGTTGTTGGGGTTCTGAGTATCCCAGTGTGGCTGGACAGCAATGTGAATGGGAGCTGGGGTGGCAGTGGATGATGGAGGTAAAAGGGATGGTTGAGACTTAATTGCAGAGGACCTTGAGTTCCACGCAGAGAGATCAGACCTTATGCTATAACCAATGGGTATGCTAAAACTAAAATGATGGAAAGATGATAACTTTCAAAACGAATGTAAAATGAATACAAATATTTCAAGTACAGATAGAAAAGATGTGGTTTAATTTCAGCTCATAATTTAAAAGGCTTAATGGTCTAAACTGACTTTATCTCAGGTAAACTTGTGATGATAGAGAATGCCAATAAAGCTTTTGTCACCTTTGCTTAAGCTACTAAAATAATATTTAGAACAAGAACTTAGGAAACTATTTTATTAGAGTCTCAGGGAGGGGGCCTCTGGAGTTTAATCTCTAGACAGGGAGATTGATAAGCTAGAAATTATCTGAAGGACAATGACCAAGATGGGAAAAATTCAGAACAATGTTTTGAGAGTTATGGTTGTAGGAACCATAATACTTTTTGATCCAAAGAAGACTGAAGAGGAGGAAAGAAATGGAAAGAAATGTCTCAATGTATCTTAGAGGCTACTAGAGAAGCAGAATTAGACTTGTTCTGAGTAATTGCAGAGCTGAGAACTAAGATCACTGGGTAGAAGTTAGAAGGCAGAGTTCAATCCAATATTAAGTCATTTCTTGTTTGAGTGATTTCTGAAATGAACTAGCCTGCTTCAGGAAGTAATCAAGTAAGAGACGTGCAGATGGCAACCTACTTATCCCCAAACACAGTGGCCAAACTTTGACAATGAAACATTTCAGAGATCTCTGCAAGAAAAAGTTTCAAGAGAAGGAGGGATCTTGTAGAAATAAAAATCAGATAAAATGCTATAGCATACGGAAACTCAAACTTCATGAATTGAGCAGAACTGTAGGATCAGAAGCCATATTCATAATGGTTTAAGTGATTATTGAAAATTTGGTATCCAAATAATCAACAAATTTTTATTGAGCCCTTAGAATGTGTCAGACACTGTCTTAGGTGCTAAAGATACAACAGTGAATGAAGCACACAAAAATGCTTGCCTTGGTGGGGCAAGTTAGAAGGTAGAAATGGAATAATTTTTAAGTGTTGCATACAATAGTAGAAGATAATAAATGCTACACACACACACACACACACACACACACACACACACACACACAAGGCAAAAAATGGGAGGTGGAGAATGAGAGTATACAATATCAGTTTAGATAGGGAAGACCACGTCATAAAGATGATACTTGGAAAAAAAGACTTGGATAAAGCAAGGGAGGGAATTATATGGTCGTTTTGGAAAGGAACACTCCAGCCAGAAGGAATGATAGGTGTGAGACAAGAATGCATTGGTATTTAGGGAATAGCAAAGAGACCAGAGAGCCAGAGTTGAGTGAGTGGAGAGGGGCAGTGTGGTCAAATTCTTTAGGACTTACAGGCATGAAAATGAACTTTGGATTTTACTGCAAGAGAGCTAGAGAGCCATTGGAGGATTTTGAAGAGAGGAAGATCATGATCTGACACCTTTTTAAAAGATCCCTTTTGTTACTGTGTTGCAAACATACTGTAGGCAGGCAACACTACAAGTTGGGAGACCAGCTATTGGAATAGTCCAGGTAAAAGATGATGTAATCGTCCAGGTAAAAAAACTACATTTGTAGAGGTGGAGAAGAGTGGCAGGGCCATAGGATTTGCTGATGAGTTGACAATTTGGGTTTTGAGAGAGAATGAGATCCTGATATGGGTAAACTAAGAGTTTTTGTTTTTTTGTCTATATATATATATGTGTGTGTGTGTGTGTGTGTGTGTGTGTGTGTGTGTGTGTGTGTTTGTGTATAATTGCATTTTAGGTTTTGGGGTACATGTGAAGAACATGCAAAATTGTTGCTTAGGTACATACATGGTAATGTGGTTTGCTGCCTTCCTCCCCATCACCTATATCTGGTATTTCTCCCCATGTTATCCCTCCCCAACTCCCCACCCCCACTGTCCCTCCCCTAGTTCCCACCCACAGACCCCAGTGTGTGATGCTCCCCTCCTTGTGTCCATGTGTTCTCATTGTTCAACATCCGCCTATGAGTGAGAACATGCAGTGTTTGATTTTCTGTTCTTGTGTCAGTTTGCTGAGAATGGTGGTTTCCAGGCTCATCCATGTCCCTACAAAGGGCATGAACTCATTGTTTTTATGGCTGCATAGTATTCCCTGGTGTATATGGGCCACATTTTCCTTGTCCAGTCTATCATCAATGGACATTTGGGTTGGTTCCAATTCTTTGCTATTGTAAACAATGCTTTAATGAACATTTGTGTGCATGTGTCCTTATAATAGAACGATTTATACTCCTTTGGATATATACCCTGAGCTGTTGGAAGAATAGAACCGTTGTCTGCAATGAGAAAGTTGGGGCAGTGGCTTTTAGACAGTTAGGTCAAGAGATGCATTTTGTTTATTTTGATAGAGTAGACTCAACTGTTCTTATAGACAGAGTAAGAATCAAGAGCCATAGGAAACACATAGAAATGTGAAGTAAGCTTTCTGAGAACACAACAAATAAAAAAGGTTTGGCATTGAAAAAAGGGAAGAATAATTCCTTTTCTGGAAAAGCAACAAAGAAGGTAATCTATAGAGAAGTTGAGGGAATTTACAATGAATGTCTTAGTTATTACATGAAACTTTAATTGCTTCAAGTTTAGAAGATGAAGTAGAGTTAAAGTAGTTAAGATGTTAGTTTATAGGGACTAAAGTAAGGAGTCAACCAGAGATTAATAAGACTTTCAGTAGCAATACAACCCAATTAGTATTAGCATCTATTTGTACTATATTTCAATAAATCAGAACAAAAAATTCATTGTAAAATACAACTTCAATAGGAGAAAACAAAATTCCCAAGATACGTTCATTTAAGGCTGAGTCACCAAAGACTATCTTCATTGTAAGGCTAAACAAGGCATAAACCCACCCACACAAAAAGTTACATGCCATAAGTTTAGTACTAGATGTAGGGAAAGGTAAAATATTCTTCAGGAATTTGAACCACAAGTTAATGCTCATGCAGATCTACCATCTAAATTCATACCTCAAGTGTAGTCCAAAATATGTCAAGTAGAAAAATTCGGTACTGTGAAGTTGATGGTGCACAATGTGACTGATGGAAGCATATACAGATTCTGCCCAGAAGAACTCTTTCAATTCAGGTCTACAGAAATCATAAGACTCCTTTGTAAGATGAATTCTAATTTTAGAATGTTAACATATGAAAAAAAAATGTGTTTTAGAAATAAGGTATAGGGCCAATTTGCACAGTTAGTGACTTCCTCCGCATGCTAAGTAGCCTTAGATAGTGAAAGGGTTTTGTAAATTCCAACTGGAGCTAACTAGGAAATCACAAGGGAGACAGATAATACAAAGAAGGAGGAGAGTCTCACCCAGGTTGCCCTCCTTCTTTTCATACCGATGGGAGACATTGCATTTCTCAGCGCCTAGATCAGTGCCTGGCACATAATAAATGCTCCATAGATTATTTGGATTAGTAAATCAATGATTAGTTTGGAGATCCCTCTCTCACTTAGCTTGACCAGACCTCAAAATCCTTTTAAAACAATTACTAATAATCAAAGTTGGCATAGATTTGAAACCTATTTTTTGTCTTTGTGCTAGAGATTTTGAGGCCAAAGATAATTTGATGAAACAATTTGAGAAAGCACTGGCCTTTGAAGTCATAAAGCCTAAATTACAGTTCCACTTACATAAGAGATGTGATGAATCTTTTATTATTAATGCCAGTTTTCCCACTTGGAAACAGAGGAATCATTTCTCTCCTGCCTACCTCAGAGAGATGTAAGGAATCTCAAAAATGATGATGGATGTGGGATGCTTTTTTCCATTGAAGTCCTTAGCAAGTGAGCTTTATAATATTTTAGACAGCTTATTTTTACATCTATATTCAGGATGATGGACTTGAATAGAAAAACACTAAAGATTTTCCCATTAAGG